ACCGTGTAGCCAGCCTGTAGGACTGGGTAGATCTGACTGTAGCCTGCAGGACTGGGTAGATCTGACTGTAGCCTGTAGGACTGGGTAGATCTGGCTGTAGCCTGTAGGACTGGATAGATCTGACTGTAGCCTGTAGGACTGGGTAGATCTGACTGTAGCGTGTAGGATTGGATAGATCTGACTGTAGCCTGTAGGACTGGATAGATCTGACTGTAGCCTGCAGGACTGGGTAGATCTGGCTGTAGCCTGTAGGATTGGATACATCTGACTCTAGCCTGCAGGACTGGGTAGATCTGGCTGTAGCCTGTAGGACTGGGTAGATCTGACTCTAGCCTGCAGGACTGGGTAGATCTGGCTGTAGCCTGTAGGATTGGGTAGATCTGACTGTAGCCTGCAGGACTGGGTAGATCTGACTCTAGCCTGTAGGATTGGGTAGATCTGACTCTAGCCTGCAGGACTGGGTAGATCTGGCTGTAGCCTGTAGGACTGGGTAGATCTGACTCTAGCCTGTAGGATTGGATGGATCTGACTCTAGCCTGCAGGACTGGGTAGATCTGACTGTAGCCTGTAGGATTGGATAGATCTGACTGTAGCCTGCAGGACTGGGTAGATCTGGCTGTAGCCTGTAGGACTGGGTAGATCTGACTGTAGCCTGTAGGATTGGATAGATCTGACTGTAGCCTGCAGGACTGGGTAGATCTGGCTGTAGCCTGTAGGACTGGGTAGATCTGACTGTAGCCTGTAGGATTGGGTAGATCTGACTGTAGCCTGCAGGACTGGGTAGATCTGACTGTAGCCTGTAGGACCGGGTAGATCTGACTCTAGCCTGTAGGATTGGATGGATCTGACTGTAGCCTGTAGGACTGGGTAGATCTGACTGTAGCCTGCAGGACTGGGTAGATCTGACTGTAGCCTGTAGGACTGGGTAGATCTGACTATAGCCTGTAGGATTGGGTAGATCTGACTGTAGCCTGCAGGACTGGGTAGATCTGGCTGTAGCCTGTAGGACTGGGTAGATCTGACTGTAGCCTGTAGGATTGGGTAGATCTG